ATAGTTTCCAACCAAAGCCATGGATTTCTTTCCACTATAACAAGCATCAACAAAACGTCCGAATTTGTATTTGTTGAGACTTTGTTACTGAGATGTGACAATACCACTGATATGAGTTTCAAGTATGAATGATGATCTTTCTTTCTCTTTTCTTGGTTTTTTTTTTCTTTTTTCTTTTTTTCTTTTTTCTATTCTTTTCTTTTCCTCATCTGGCTATTATACAGCTATGTCAAGAAAGGTTGGCAAACGTTTTGTTGCGTGTTGTATGACCAATTCTTAATGGCACTATGGGCGACGTGAAGATGTGAATACATTCAGCGAAAGATCAATAACAATATGAAAATGTCCCACTTTTTTCCCGCACACTTATGAGGAATATTTTCTCCTGTGTCGACGTCATTCACATATAAGTATAATACATTTCAGTCAAGCTTAATGAGCAACAAGAACAAAACCTTTACCAACCTTTTTGAAAGAGCTACATGCATGCGTCTGTTCCAGTTCCTATTTAGCTGATGAACGCTAAACGTCATAAAATTTTACTCCAGATTCCCAAGTAAACAACTAAGCGATGAGGACTTGAGCTGCCCTGGAGGGGATAACAACCCAAATCTCCTGATAAAGGCGACAAACAATGAAACATTGAACATGTCGGTCAATGATGTCATCGTCGATAGACCCAGCCAACCATTTGTTGCCAAGGCAAGTCTGGATTTGTTTTATCGTTAATCATTTTTAAATCTAAGATAAAATCCTAATGACGTTCCTCAGTATACATATGTTTTAGACAATGGACCTTATCCAAGATACTAGGGTCATTTTGGTCTACCTTCGTTACAGCATGTTTTTGGTCATCATAAAATATATGGGGTAGTTACTGAAACTTGACGACGATGCACCACTTCTTTCGTAATTAGAAAAATGCTTACGATTGAAAAACAAATTAGATTACTCAGTATGGATAATATTACTTGGGTTCAGAACTCACCTATCATTCAGCTTTATCCAATATTGCATTCGATCCACTTCCTGAACAGATAGCTAATAAAAAAGTAATGGCCTGCTTTGCACTTTTTCGTAGGCGAAATCCTTCCACTACAGCCAAGGTTACTTGGTCGTTGAAGTACTTCCGGTTACTTCAATTGTCAATGAAAAGGCAATCACAGAAATAGGGATTGATGAACCACTTAGTCATGTCAGACGTAAAAGAGCTATCTACCATAGATTCTTTGGAGCGAATGGAAGATGGGGATTTACTTTGGTAAATAAATCATCCTATTCTATTCTTCTCCGATCCTCTTTCTCTTAGCATTGTGATTCCCCACTCTCTTATGCTCCCTTATTATCTTTCTCTACTCCACTTCGCTCTTCTCCTCCTCTACTCTTTCTACTCTTTGCAGCTGCCTCTCCTTTTCTTCCTCTCCTCCACCTTCTCTGCTTTTCCTCTTCCTCCTCCTCCTCCTCCTCCCCACCTCCTCCTTCTGCTTCCTAATTATTATGAATACTTTTACCTTTCTTCTCTTGCTAGAAACAAGGAGGACAAGGCTTCAGTTCTTTTTTAAGTTACGGAGTTGGATTTTCGCTTATACTGCAATTGGAAGTCTCAAGCGCGAGTATCRACAAGCTAAAGCCGCCAAAAGTACGGATGAATATCTTTATGTCTGCGAGAGCATCAGCATCAGCAGAAGTCTCATTCAATCTAAACCGAGGGTAAGTTCTAAATAGGCTGTGGGAAAGGGGGATAGTGGAAGGGGGTGTGAAAAAAGATGGAAAAATACGGTAGCAAACATTTTTAAAGGTTAGGGAGATCACGCTTAATAATTGCCCGTGAATAACAACTCGAACGCCCTTCTCCACCCCGTCCATGTGATTAATAGCTACAGGTCCCTTCGGCAAGTTTTGTTTACCAAATATGGAAATAAGCGTTCAAAGTAAAACATCCAGAACAAATATCTTGGAAAATACTTAATGATTTCAATATGAACTGTTTTATAACAAGCACCTTTATTAAAATAGTACTAGAAGAAAGAAAAGCCGATGTTTGATCTGTTCAAAGCGATCATTATGGTTTGTATCTTGTTTCTTAACAGCGGCTCAGCATCATCAAGCAGAAGTCTAGTACGTGGCTTAGCCCTTAAGAGATTCTCTATCTGCATTTATTTTCTTTGTATTCCATGTGGAATCTTTTTCGATCTTGATGCATCAGGAAGCGTTAGTGCACAGGTAAGAACTTAAAATAAGCTCCCAAAAAGCGGATATGTGCGAAAGTAAAATTGGCGAAAATAAAATTTAAAAGGGGTTCGGTTTAGCTGCCCAATGTTTATAACATGCTATTTGTCCATGCCGCATGTCACTGAATTCAAGTATCCATCCTTTCGTCGAACTGTTATTAACGCCTTATATGAAGAATTATGGGAGTGGATCATGGATTTTGATGTGACATGGTCACTTTGCACTGATCTTTAGTCATTTTGGAATATCGTTTTTAGCAGTTTTATAAGAGCAATTCTCCCGATAGTTTTATCTGATGGGGTAATGGGAGTGGCATGAGGTCATATCCTAATTCAATGAAACCAAAATTTCAAAAGGAAACTGATCACAATGACAGGAAACACACAAAAAGCAAAGTTGATTTTCTAAAAGAAGCAAACAATATATAGCCGGGTTGCCTGTGATATAATACGACAGTTTGGGACATTAAAGAGGAGAGAGAGCAGACGTTCTAGCGAGAGCTTGGACCGAAGCAAGTTGGTCGAGCAACTAGAGATGGGGTTCGCCCCAAGAGCTAGGAGTTAGCCTTCCCATGTCAGTCATGCCGCGTCGTTCCATTTTAACACGTTTGTAAGTATCCCGTTGCCATAGATTTCGATAATAAGGCTTTTTGCTCAAGTTTAGTTTTCGTTACTCGGAAATATGTTGTGTTCTAAGCGAGTAATTCTACTCCGGTGACAATTTACTAGTTTCAGTTCACGTAGTTCTTCTTGTCAAGTCCACTACTTGCATCCAGTATTGGTTCTCATTTTGCCATATCCTAGACTTCGGTTTATCTTTGACCGTTTTTTACATCTGCTGGTGTCAGATCCTGATATATGTACGTATTTCCAATTTATATCTATTTTTCGCGTGTTGCGCTCCGATCGCCATGGGATTCCACTAGTGTGCGTCTCCCACCGGTTACATTGAGGCAAAAGTTGTCGCATAATACCATCTATCATTTCTTCGTAAACTTCAGGAAATTCAACTATACCATATGTCAAATTATTATATAGTTAGGATAGTACGCGCGCGCTGATTGGTCAAAAACTGTGCTTCATTAGTGAACGCAGCCCAGTGCTGACGCCATACGCGCGCGCGAAGTGCTGCTAGATTCTGCGACTGTCTTTCTTTTTGCGTAAATAAATTCAATACCGGAAAAAATAATAACTATATAATAAAACTAATAAAACAGCTATGCCCTTGCTCTGCAGAAATAAATCACTCAAGAAGTGTGAGAAGCACTCGCCTACGGCTCGTGTTTCTCCTTACACTTCTTTCGTGCTTACGTCACTCCCTGCGTGCTTTATTCCTGAAGGAAGCACGGAAAAATCTGTTTTGTTTGTTAATTCGCCTTTGTTTTCTGATTTAACCCATACAGCTCGCAGCAGTTGGTTCAGCTTTTTATCAATTAAGAATAAGCAAAGAGATGGCAAATGGGGAATGCTCAACTACAGGAAGATGTCAGTCCTCTCTATCAAAGGTAACAATCTGTCTATATACGATGTTTGTTATGATTAGGCCCATTTATTCAATTTATTATAGATTTGGGGGGGGGGGGGGGGGGGG